CGGGGGACGGCGAAGGGCTCGTCTGAAATACCGACCGTTCAAGGAGGTGATGGGCAGCAGCCCGTGCGGGGCTCTGCTGCTGTCCCCGGGGTCGGGCTGGTGGGGCCCGGWGGGATGCGGGGGCTTTGTCCTGCCTCCCCCGGGCACCTCCCTGGCTGGGGAGCCCCAGGGCTTTGCACAGAAAAGGGATTTCTGAGCCTCCCTGCACGCCCCACGCCAGGCTGCTGGGGTGATCCTCCCTGTGCGAGGATGCCGCTCATCCCTGACAGGGAAGCACTGCAATGTCTGCTCAGCAGACCGAGCGTTTCCCTTCATCCTGCTCGTTCCTCAGGCAGAGCACCGGCGTGCCCGGTGTGGAGCTGCACGGAGCCGGGCTGTGTGCGATAGCATCCCTGCTGAATGCAGGATGGGGATGGATCCTGCCAGGTTCTGTTGTTTTCTGCACGCTCCAGGCTCTGCTGTTTTGTTTAAGAATGCTTGTTGTTTTAGTAGCAGAAAGGACATAATATCTGTCCACACGGCACGATTTATTGAGGGTTGGAATGATGCCAAACAGTCTGAATTGAGCTCCAGCAGCGCAGTGTGATTGCGGGCAGCAGGCTCACGCTTGCACACACACACACACACGTCTCACAGATACTGCCTGCTCCCTCTGCTGCTTGTTCCTCCCACTAGGGATGAGAACCATAGCGGCAAAAATGCCTTTTTCTTTGCTTGTTTGTTTTCTCATCCTTCCTTCCCCTCATCCCTAAGCACAGCCGTGTGGCACTGGGGTCCTGGGGCTCCTCTGCTGCTGCTGCTGCCTGTTGTGTACCTGCTCAGACGCTCTGCTGGTTGYTCACGGCTGCTGTGGAAACAGGAACAGGACTTCAGCAGCAACAGGAGGAGAGACATTTTTTTTCCAGGAGCTAAAAACAGCTCATTCTCCACAGACAGTTTTGCAGTTTAGCGGGGGTAGATGAATCCCTGCTTGGAGTTCACATTTGCCTCCACGTCGGCTGCCAAACCAGAAAAAGTGTTTCTTGATTCTGATTCGAGTTTAGCCCGGCTCTTGCAAAACCAAAATGGTAAAAAAATACAGGTGATGCTGGCAAGAGGTAGCCAGATGTGGAAAAGCTCAGTGCAAGCCCTGTGTGCTTTGTTTGTGACATTCAGAGGTGACCATGCACRGGTTTGGCCTCAAACCGAGCCCAGGTTTCAGCTGATCCCCCAAATGCTGCTGGGCTGGGTGAGGGCAGGGGGTCTGCGAGGATCTGCCCTTGTCAGGACAGCAAACCCAGCCCCTGCTGCTGC